TATTTTGAGTTTTGTACATACGTGCATGATAAACCTGATATTAATGCAAACTGACAAATAAACATGATGTAACTAATAACTAATATTTAATTAAGGTTAAATATTGATTAAAAATACTGATCGAAGAAATCGAAAATTAGTTGGAAAACTGATAGAATTTAATTAATAACCGTTCGATAAGAAGCATTATTATTATTCTTCGGTGCTGTAGATACCAGTGTTTGTTGTTAGCCTTAAGCTCAATATTTTTAATTAGATCCAATTAGTTTTAGCCTTAATAGTCTTATTAGTCTTAGCCTCAAGTTCAGCCTTGATGACATATGTTCAAGCTTACGTACGTACGTACGTAAGTCCAATTAGCTATGTCCAATCAGCCGGGTTGAATTTAAACATGCCCAATAGCGGTAATAGATAAATTTCGTACGACATGCTGGATAATGTATATATATGTCATGAAATGACCTCCGAATTGCGTGACAAACTGTGTGTAACTGCGCAAAGCGACTCTGACCTGCGTGTAACAATAGCTAGAGCCAACTATTTAAAAGAGCATATTAATCGATTTAAACATAAGTGATCGACTTTTATCATGTTTTCTCAATACACAAAAGACTTGCTGAATAGAACTAGAGAGTCCATTTCTTCCGGTTCGTCTCAAGAACCAGGAATATCACTGTTTTACTCGGTTCCTACTTTACCAGCAGAAGCCGAGATCCGTGAATCTATCTCGTTACAAACCTCACAAATACACTATACTCAATATGACGACGACGATGAATATCAAGGATCTGAGCCTGATCCAGCGCTTTTAACGACAGTTCCATTATCAACTCACCAAAATACACAGGTTAGGAATTTGCCATATCACTTTTTGCGATTATTTAACTGTTAGGAAACTTAAATTTTAACATTGTAGACTGCGGCAGAGATCTATCGCGATGTCTCCTCTACGATCGAAACTAGAATTTCTAACAATACTATGTCCGAGGGATTACTTCCCTCGTCTTCAGTGAGTTTTTTTTTATAACAGATTATTAATATATATATATATGTACATATAATAAATCTTTTTTCTTTCTTAGATACCACCCCCTCTATTATCTGGCCTTTCACATCGCAAATTTAAAGATCCAGTGTTTGCATTTTTATTTATGATTGGATTGATAGCAATGACCATAATAGGCATTAGTTTATTATTTACAACCAATGTAAGTTGTAATTGTTTCAAGAAATTGTTTTCCTTATGATTAACAGGTAATTTCTAACAATTTCTAAATTTTGAACAGTCTTCATTCAAAGACCAAAACATTATTCACAAATCCGTATTTTTTGTTATACGTGATAGTGCATGTATGATTATATTTATTTTAAAAGATTTTGTTACATACATTCTATGGACTCTGTTATAACATTTGGTCTTTTTTCTATAGGGCCCCTTTTCTTTTCAATAACATTTTCTTTATGTTCAAGCTTCGCCTGGTTATATTTTCTCTGCTCATTTGTTCAAGTAGGCACATTTATCTTTATTTTGCATAAATTCCAAAGCTGCAATATGCATAATACTTTTAATTTTCTAGCCTTTAGTATGGGGAACGTTAATATCTGTCCCTTTTGTGTTTTCTGCGATGTTTATTTGGGCTTTTGCGTCATCTCTAACTGGGCCTCTCCGAGAATCTGGAAAGCCAGACCCACAGGATAATTGGTATGTAGTATCTTATTGAACATTCATTTTTTATATAAATGCATGGGTAAATCAATAATCTATATTATCTTTTTTACAGGCTTCTGTCTTTGTCATTTATACCATTCTTCATTTCCCTCGGATCTGTTGTATTTTTATATACTCGCAGGAAGAATGTCAATAAGACAATAAATATAATCGAGGTTAGCCCATATTCTCCAAAAAATTTTCTACAAGTAAAAAGTTAAACACAATGACTAATACCACATAAATATATTAGCTTGCATGTGAAATATTAAATGCCAACCGTCGGATGGTTAATGTTTCATTAACAATATTGGGAGCTTATATTTTATTCACAATAATATGGTTGATATTTTTCAGTCGAGTCTTTTTATTTGGCCATATGGTGCAAACATCATCAAGTAATAGATGGATTTTTTTTTTCCTGATTATTATTTTGATTATCAAAAATTTCACTAATTATTATATTCTTGTGGACAAAAGGCACGTGGATGTTTTATCAGAATTCGCATTTAATCATATTTTTTGTGTTTATGTATTTGTGGACATCTGCTGTCTTATATAATATTCAAAGGTTAGTATCTTTTTAAAGTTTTTTTTGTCATATTGATTTTCAAAACTTTATAATAACTTGGTTGTCTATCTAGAGTAACTTTAGCGGGAGTCGTATCTGATTGGTATTTTTACAGGTATGATAAATGCATTTTATTATTATACATCTTTTTGAATTCTCCGGTCGATTACTTATTATATGCGCCTACACATTTGCACTTAAGACGTGAACTAGATCGAGATGCATCTCAAGATACATCTAGTTTGGCTTTTCGTAGGGCCACTACAAGTTCATTTGGATCAGTATGCTTGGGTGGACTTATTCTTTCTACCGCTCAACTCTTACATCTCATAAACGAATTTACTAAAAAAGTAATAAATTTATTTGAAATCAGAGAATTTTTAATCATTAATTTATTTAAATTGTAACTTATATTTTTGTACTTGATAGAATATCAGACGTAACTCGATTTTCTATTGTATATCAACCTGTTTTTCGTGTCTTGACGGAATAATAGGTGTTCTAAATAATTACGCTTTGATATCCATTGGAATTTCTGGAGAGAGTTTCTGCTCTTCAGCTGTGTTTACCACCAAATTATTTCGACGGAATCTTGTCTCTGGACTAGTTAATGGTAATATACCTTTTTTCATTTGTCTAGCATAATTGATGTAATATTTTAGTAACACGGAAGCTATATATCTTTTATTTCTGTTAGACGCTATAACAAAGTGCATCCTATATATTGGCTCTATAATGATCTCACTATTATGTGGGTTCGCTACATTTATATATGCCACACATTCACTACAATCATCATATGGATATGTTGTTGGCATTTTGGCAGCCATTATTCCATACTATATTTCACAATTTTTTGTATGCATTATGAATGATACGTAAGTATTTTAATATTTGGGCCGTATTTTTTTTTGTTTTTGCCAAATCTTCTAATATTTTGATTTAATTCACAGAGTGGACGCAAGTTTCGTATGTTATGCAATTGATCTTGACACTAATAAAATTCATTGTACTAAGGCACACGAAGCATTTTCAAATTTTCAAATTCTATAAATAATATATAGATCTCTTGTCATTAAACAATAAATAATTTTATGTCATTATACAATTGTACACGATTATTTGTAGGGTTTTTTAATGTATTTATAGGATTTAAGTTTTTGAGTGCAATAAAGACCCAGTGTAAAATATGTTTAAGAATGAAAAATGGAACATGTATTGATGTTCGTACGCCCCCCATTTACTTGTGTTATTCTGAAAATTATTTCATTTTATAAAATGATAATTAATCTACACATTCTAGATTACGAAGGAATAACTAGTGTTATTTATAGTTAAATCAAATAAGACGTAATTAAAAACGTGGAACAAAATAATTGGTATGATTAGTAATCGTTCTTTTTAAATCACATGATTAATAAAAACTATATACATAAACTATGCAACGGATTTATTTTTTTAATGCCAAGAAACTTTGTTAGCAAAACCAATTAAATGTATGATTTCTTTACGGAAGGGAGTAAAATCATGTCTCATATTACATGAAGATCTTCTATATTGCATTTACGTTTAGGATATTAATCTTTACAAATTAGCATGTGGTTATCGTTATCTATTTTTGCGACCATAATAATTTGTGTACTAAAAAGGTAGTTATATAAATGATATATAGGCATATAATTATTTTTAAACCGGACCAAATTTTATATATGACGTTTGTTCTGGATTCAAAAATAAATTATATACATATATATATATATATATATATATATATATATATGTATATATATACCCATATATAAATTATTGATCAACTTTGATACGTACAACGTTTATTTGAATATCAGATTTAGTATTTTATACCTAAAAAAATTTAGCTAAATTGTATTATCGTTATACAAATGCTGAAATGCATGCATATAATCACGTGTTAACGAGAATCTTTATACGCATGTATTCTTTATTCGTTTTGTACCTACCGCTATTGTCACTATTGCAAATTAATCGGATGTAAGATGTCCTTGTTAATTAAAAAAAAATACATAATATTAAATTGCGCTTCAAGAGTATAATTGGTTCCTTTTACATCATGTATTTTGTTCTGCATTCCTAACTTTTTTTAAAAAAAGTTGCTCGGTTTAAAGAATAGGAAAAAATGCTAGTAGAGAATACGTATTTACTACAGTTAGACTAACGTTTGAGCCAGACATCGCATAGCATATAAAATATTTAAATGTAATTTAATATGAAACATAGAATCTTGTACAATACAGTCCATCCATGGAATACAAATTCAATAAACAAATATCTTTTACTTCCGAAATAGGTGTATTATAATTGCATTGTAACACTTACCGAATTTATTAGACAAATTGGATACCGAAAATGTACTACGTTCATTATTCTCGTTATCATACAAAAGAACCTTGCTTAACCAATTCTTTTACGATATCCTTCTTACCGACTATCCTTTTCAATATTAGGGAAGAGTTTTCTTCCCAAGAAGGATCGACTTTTTAGCTGGTATCATATCAATTGAGTTCATACGGTGCCCCTATTTTACATCCCCTTTTTTTTTGTAGATTATTTGCTTAAGTATTTCTGCTGGCAGCGATACGTTAATTCCGTTTTGTTTTGATCGTGAAAATAACCTAAAAAACTCTTTTGAATACACACGTTCTTTTAATAAAATATTTATTAATATATACTTCATATAAATGGAGTATCAAGATAATATTTATTCAAACTATTATGATCCAAGAAGGAATCCGTCCCGATCAGGTGTGAATCCTCAACAACGTTCTTATCAACAACCTGCTAATCCACTTCCTCAGCTACCGCAACAAGGATTTCAATCACCTCAACAAGTAGGATACCAGCAAGTTACATATCAGCAAGGATATCAAAATGATTATGAGAGAGTTTCTCCTCCTATGAATCGTAATCAAATTCAAAGGCAACCAACTAATGGATTTGGTTATGAAAATGTTAATAATTATGGGAAAGAGAATACTTATTATGACCGAGAACGTGAACAGCGAATACAGAACGATAAATACGAAAGAAGAAGGGTAAGTTAAATATTGTATGCATTATATACACTTGCCAAGAAAAAATAAAAAAATAAAAAAAAAATACAAACGCCAAACGTGACACAATATTATTATGCAAGTGTTGCTCTAAACATGACATATGAAATGTTACAAGTAAACTCATAAAAATTGGTTTGTTAAAATTATGTAGTCTGCTCGTCACGTCGAGCTTACTCATGGAAATTTAGTGCTCGATTGTCCAGTACCTGACAAAGTACTTCGTAATGTTAAATACAGTGACGATGAAGAATTTAGTACTATGCGATATACTGCTGTCACGTGTGATCCAGATGATTTTATTCAAAACAAGTACCTTCTCCGACCTCATATTTATGGTCGAAAGACTGAACTCATGATTGTTATGACTATGTACAACGAAGATGATAAACTATTTATTAAAACCATGTCTTCTGCCATCAAAAATGTTGCACATCTCTGTTCAAGAGATAAATCTAAGACATGGGGACATGATGGTTGGCAAAAAGTAGTCGTGGTAATAGTATCTGATGGTCGTAATAAGATCGATAGACGAACTTTAAATGTTTTGGGCGCCATGGGAGTTTATCAGGATGGAATAATGCAAGATAATGTTGACGGAAAATCTGTGACTGCTCATCTTTTTGAATACACCACTCAATTAATGATTGATAGTGATTTCAGTATTCGCGGACAGGATAAAAATATTCCTCCAGTTCAAGTTTTATTTTGTTTAAAAGAAAAAAATGCTAAAAAATTAAATTCACATCGTTGGTTTTTCAACGCTTTTGCCGCTCAGTTGAATCCAAATGTTTGTGTTTTACTTGACGTTGGCACAAAACCTTCTCATACTTCAATTTATCATTTATGGAAAGGTATATGTTTAATAATTCAGTTATTCATCATTTTTACGACTTTTTATCATTTATTTATTATTTATTTTATTTATCCGTTTAAAGCTTTTGACCGTGATCCTAATGTTGGTGGTGCCTGTGGAGAAATAAAAGCAGAACTTGGGAGTGGATGGAGGAATCTTTTAAATCCTTTGGTCGCATCTCAAAATTTTGAATATAAAATGTCCAATATTTTAGATAAACCTTTAGAATCGGTTTTTGGTTATATCTCTGTATTACCAGGTGCATTCTCTGCATATCGATTTAAAGCTTTACAAAATACATCCCCTGGTAAAGGTCCTTTAGCATCTTACTTTAAAGGTGAAACTATGCACGGTTCGGGATCAACTAATGTCTTTGATGCCAACATGTACTTGGCTGAAGATCGTATTCTATGTTTCGAACTAATTGCTAAGAAAAAAGAGTCATGGAAATTGAAATATGTCAAGGTATAGCCATTATTTCGTTTATTTCGTGTTCATATTATTATTATATTTGATATTAAAAGTATATAATATTATATTTGTTCAAATATTTTAGTCTGCTAAAGCAGAAACAGATGTCCCAGATAATGTACCAGAATTTATTTCCCAACGTCGTCGTTGGTTAAATGGATCTTTCTTTGCTGCCTTCTACTCTGTTGCAAACTTTACGCGTATTTGGACTTCTGGACAACCATTTTATCGCATGTTAATGTTACAACTTGAATTCTTGTATAATGCCATTCAGTTACTTTTTAATTGGTTCGCCTTGGTAAGATTTATTATCAAACATTTTTATTACTTAATATTCACATTTGACTCATTTTCCTCATTGTAAATAGGGTAATTTCTTTTTGGCTTTCTTCTTTTTGACTCAATCCACCACTCAAAATCCGGATACAGACCCTTTCAGAGGTTATGGAGGCGAGATATTTGACATTTTCCGATCGTTATATATGATGGTTATTATAACGATCTTCATTTGTTCGATGGGTAATCGCCCTCAAGGATCTAGGCTTATATATACACTTTGTATCATCCTTTTTGCAGTTATTATGTCAATTATGATTTATTGTGCATTCTACACAGTATATCTAACATTATACCATACAAACCCTCCAATTAATTTCAAGAATTTTTCGAGCATCCAAAGTGCTTTAAAAAAGGCAGCATTTCGTGATATCGTAATTTCTATTGTTTCAACTTATGGATTATATTTTTTTGCATCCTTCATTCATGGTGAACCATGGCATATGTTTACTTGTTTATTGCAATATATCTTACTTGTTCCTTTTTATGTCAATATTCTCATGGTTTACGCATTCTGCAATACTCATGACGTTTCATGGGGTACAAAAGGTGACAATGGTAGTACCGGCAATTTGGGTGGCGCACAAGCAGTAACCGGAAAAGACGGTAAACAAGTGTTTAAAGTTGACGTTCCCACAGAAAGAGATGATATCAATGCTGCATATGATAAGATTACAAATGAGCTAAGAATCAAGGTTCACAAAGAGAAACAACATCGTGATGTTGCTACGAAAAAGGATGATTATTATAAATTATTCAGAACAAATTTAGTACTTGCATGGATGTTTTCAAATGGTTTCCTGATCTTATTATTTACGTCTAATACTTGGCAAAGATACGTTAATTCTACTAGACCTGATAGTGCTTTCAATCCTTATTTGACCTTTGGTAAGCTTTTATTCGTTTATACGTTTTATTAATGATCTTTATGAATTTTTTTTTAATTTTTTAAAATTTATTTTTATTTGCTTTTAGTATTTTGGTCAGTTACGGGTTTATCGGCAATCAGAGCATTTGGTAGTATATGGTACTTGATTCTTCGCGCTGTGTTTGGATAGAATTTATTCAAATTTAAAAAAAAACATTAATCAAATTTAATAAATATATTTGGGACGTAAGATTTTTAGTACGTACTTAATTGGCTGTACAGTAATTAGTTTTCTTATACTATAATATATATATACTTTATTTAATAAAAATTAATAATTCAAACTTAGAAGTTACTCATTTAACTATATTTAAATATTAGTTTGTGATAAGTTAACTGTAACAAGTCTATTCTATCCACTTTACACAGCATATATTTTTATTGAAATAAAGCAAAATTACATTTGTAATAAAATCAATTCTATATATAATTAAGAAAATTTTAAACCTACACTAATTAATTGATTTGCAAATCCATGTAACATATGATTTTATAAAAAAAAAACCACTTAATATTAGGATTAGGGTTAGGATTAGAGGTTAGGGTTAGAGAGTATTTTATACTCGTAGATTATTTTTTGTTAGAACCCAAAAGTAGTTTTATAAGCAAAATTTTGAGTAATAACAATACCCTGTGTGTACACACTAGTAATTCTCTATAATTAAAATCAAATTGGTGAGTGTAAAGTAGGCAGTTCAACCCAAAGGTATTAGATTGGTGTCACTTTAAGAATTCAATCATTTTTAGCTATGCTTCTTTTATTTCGTCATTACATTTGGTTTATTACTATTATATGTTGTTCAAAAAATAGTAATAGATACAGTAGTAGTGCCTTGGTAACTTAGATACATAAGAGTACATCAATCGCATGGTTCTCGTAGACGTGATCACAAACTTGTAACAGTGCCACCTGTACAATCTATGTAAAGATTTCTATTAAATAGCGTAGGTGTCTGGAGTCAAATGTAGACATAACAAATACAGAATTAATTATACGTGTAGTTAGACTCGTCCAAAAGTCGAGTGGCAGAGCTAAAAAATCTAGCATGCCACTTATCAAATCTCATGCCAGGATGGAATCCTGGCATGCCATGGCACACACTTATCTAAAAAACCTCCGATTCACAAATCCTGAATTTCCCGACAACCTGGCTATTTACTATTCTCGAACAATTTGCTCATACGTATTTTATTTTGACTATTACTATTCCGAAATGTCCCGACAACCTTGCCTTATGTCTGTTGGTTGATGTCGGGTAAGTTAAATAACTTTCGGGGAATCATATATTTTATTAAAAAAATTGTAGTTTAAATTTATTGAGCAATTGAAATTTGTTAAAATAAAAATTTAAATTAATTTATATTTATTAAAAATTTTTATATATCACACTATAGTGTTTAATAGAGGTGCAGACATTTAGAACTTTGGAGGTAGCTACCCCAGCAAAAATATCATGACGAGCCGTATAAGTAGAAGTGCCACATGCTGTATGCCGTATGAATACCGTAGGTCGTCATTCACCTTAACATTAATTTAGTGGGCGAGTATCAATTAATTGGCGGATTAATTTTTACAAACACTTATTTACTAACTAATACCCTTCAGATTACCATTCTATTCGGTCAATGAGTATTACAATAAAATTTTAATGATATAATATATATATATATATAATATTTGACGATGATTAAAATAGTAACCTAAATACGGCAAAAGTATACATTATCTGTTATAATAAAGACACGTTTAAAACATGGCGTTTGGCCGACAAGCAAAAATGAGAATATTAATGATTGCATCAGAGAATTTCAGCCTAGAACCATGGTAATACAATTGAATGGATTTCATTCAATAAATTACCGTATAAGCGCGAAATAACGCTCGTGGGCGTTATTTTGAAAATCGCGACATTAGCGCTCATGGGCATCCCGAATTAACGCGCATTCTAATGTAACACATAATTTGTTGCGATAAATAATATATAGTCGACACTCTATATATGTGTACTCTCTATAAGTGCACTTCACATTGGGTGTCAGACATCGGTATAATTATAATGCAAGTCATATACAGTAGTAAATTCTAATAATAAAATTTTTTATAGATCAACGATAGTAATAGTATATAAAATTCAACCGCAATAACTATTGAACCAGTAAACCCGCGCAAATAAAATTACTTTTTTCAGGTTCATTTTAATGTGCTCTTTAAAGTGACAACGCTCTTTTATTTTCTTCTTACAAGATATTCGATTTTAATAATTGATTTTTTATTTTAACACATGTAATATAAAAACAAACCCGTTGATACTTTAAAGAGCATGTTAAAACGAACCTGAAACTATTACAATTTGAACTTATATATGTTTTTACTATTGCTATCGTTGATTGTTAGAATTTACTATATGATTTGCATTGTACGTGCAGTTATGAAGGTTGACTGTATTGGATTTACTCTTATTTCGAAATAACGCATATGTAGTGTTCTGACCCGGGTAGGCCTCACCCGGGTCACCCGCGGGTGAGCGGGTGACCCGTTTGCCACCCGGGTAGTCAACCCGCGGGCCAACCCGCGGGCCCACGGGTCGACGGCAGATTCTCGAGTTTTACTGGCTAACGGCCGTGATCTGCAAAATTGTTTACTAATTTCCGGCCGGAATTATGATTTTTTCATTACAAAAATAGAAATTTTTAATAAATAAACCCACACTATGGTAAAATTGGCCCAGGAACAATTTTCACTTAATAGGCGGCTGCGATTTGGAGACTCACATTTATTTATTATGCAGATCAACAAACTATTTAATAACAAAATATAGAGTAATAATAAAGTTTTTTCGC